GAGAATTGGTTATAATTCGCAGTTTATTTCTTTTTATAAGTTTGAATTTTATTAAACTCTGGTTTATTTATTTACTACTTTTGTGGGGTTTTGAATAAGGGCCTTAATGGTTCCAAGTTGTATGATTTAATTTGGTTTTGGTTTTGGTTATTAGTTTTGAAACTTATTTATAGCTAAATTAGTTTTTCCGCTGCTATTTTCTGACAAAGCCTTAACGTTTGAACACGTGACAGTAGCACGCCAGTAATTCTCTAAAATATTGTTCAGGGTCCTCACAGATTTAAAGAGAGAATTATTGGGGTGTTATGGTCGAGGGAATAATCGGTCGTTGGACAATCACCCTAAAACCAAACAAAATTTCTACCTAAACCAACCTAAGACAAGTCTAGGGTAAATAGAGGATCGTATCCACAGTGAATGGGTAAGTACACCAAGAATATGAAACGGTTGCAATCTAGTTCGGTCACAAATTAGGGGTTTTGATTAGATAACTAAATAGGGATCGACTCCAACCAAACCAACGGATCAAATCTATAGGCAAGCATGAACACAAATTGGGTGATAGAGAGGGCACTCAACATTGCCTTCTTTCGAAGCCACAACACTAAGCAATCCTAAACCAAACTCAACTAACAAGATAGGCCAACCAAGTCTTAATAACGGGAAGTAGACTACTAACTCGGGTTTGTCTTTCAATCGGTCCAAGAAAGCATTAAGGCACAAACAATTGGGATTTCTCACCTAATTGTTGCAACTAAGACTACTACATCATTCAAACAAGGAACCATAATCAAGAGGAATTTAGCATAATCATATAAGAATAGGCTCACAACTAGACTCCATCTCTCAATGCTAGCATAGAAGTGAATACATGAGCAATAAGTGGCCAACCAATTACACATGCAATTAACCAATCCCTTAACAATCAATCATCAACCCAAAATGAACATGCAAGCACAAACATCAATCAACCCATGGCTTGGTTGGGTCTTCACCCAACCCCTAGCTAATTAACTACTCACAAATCATGGTGAAAAACAATCTAGCAATTAAATCTAGGTTTAACATGAATTCAATTAAACTAGGAGAGAAATTAAACAAGGATGGTTGAACATGCAAGAACAATTAACAAAGATTAAGCAAGAACTAAGATTAATCAAAGATAAAATCAGAAAATTAAATAACAAAGGAGAGAGAAAGAGGTTACTAATTGATGCTCCAAAGTTGAGAATAATTGTTGTTGAAATTTATAGAACAAAGTTCCAATAATTCTTACAAAATGATTGAGTTTTGAGAAACTAAACTAAGGGAGAGGAAAACTATGAACTAATTAAGAGAATAAGTCTAAAGGAGTTAAGAGGGAAGAAGATCCATACAAATGAGCCCCAAAAGCTATTTATAACCCCCAATTACATAGTAAACTCCGCAATAGAAAGCTCGCAGAACCTATCGGGAGAGGCCTCTCCAAGGTCTGGAGAGGCCGCTCCTAAGGACTGGAGAGGCCACTCCAAACTGGGGGAGATTGGGGCAGAATATTCCGTAGCAGGGTGGAGAGGCCTCTCCAAAAAGGTGGAGAGGACGCTCCTCAGGTGGAGAGGCCGCTCCCCTATGTTGGAGAGGCCTCTCCTCATCTCTTGTTTCAAATCTGCCAAGTGAGGCAGGAAGTTCAGCAACGAGGTGGAGAGGCCGCGGCATAAAGTTGGAGAGGCCTCTCCTCACAAAATCCTTGAAACTGCCAAGTTTGGCAGTAGCTACAGCAGCGGGGTGGAGAGGCCTCTCCACTGACCTGGAGAGGCCGCTCCTAGGGAGAGGTCGCGCCACTCTATGGAGAGGCCTCTCCACTGCACATCTCTCTTTCTTCTTGACTTGGCTCCTTTTCCTTGGCTTCTTTCCATCATCTTCTTGCTTCTAACCTTGGTTCATCATCCATAGGCTTCAATTGGTCGTCTTTGAATTGGACCTAAAATCTCAACAAAACACTAACAACCCGTGAAGCATAGGATACACAAAAATTGCATAAAAATAGAGTGAATAATGAACTAAGGCATCAATTCCTCACATATTCAACGTTAAAAACCACTCTATAATCATACAAAATAGCATGCTATCATGTTACAACTGTCAATTCGAGTAAACGGGTCGGGTTTGGGTCGGTAAGAGTGGGTCGGGTCAACTCGGGTCGGTTTAATTCGGATTAATTCCATAACCTATGCGGTTTGGGTTTGGTCATGCTTTAGTCGGGTCACATCGGGTCATACTACTTATCGGGTTTGGGTAGGGTTAATAACAGGTCGGGTGAACAATAGGTCGGGTTTAATTCGGGTTTTTACGGGTTAAAACGGGTTAGGGTGATTCTCGGTTTCAGTTTAAGTCAATAATTTGCGGGTTATAATCAGGTCGGGTCATTCTCGGGTTTGAGTCGGGTTTGGTTCAATTAAATAATTTGCGGGTTATAATCAAGTCGGGTCATTTTCAAGTCGGGTCATTCTCGGGTTCAAGTCGGGTTCGGTTCACGTCAATAATTTACGGGTTATAATCAGGTTGGGTCATTTTCAAGTCGGGTCATTCTCGGATTCAAGTCGGGTTATGTTCAAGTCACTAATTTGCAGGTTACAATTAGGTCGGGTCATTTCCAAGTGAGGTCATATTTGGGTTCAACTAACTATAAATAGATAATTATCATTTTTATCAAGCTAATTATTTCCTTTGACTATAATATATATGACAATATACTAGGGAACTATAGTCTATAATTTAGGAAGATAATTATCTCTTTTGACCATACAACAAATATATATACTATATTTAACTCTTAAATTTGAGGATGATGCTTTTGCTGGCCTTGAGCGACTTGGTTTCCCTAGACAAAATGTTTTGATCAACAATATTAAGGTGGTCTAAATTGCATTTAAGGTGATTTGAAATCGGGTCAGGAACAATTTGGGTTGAATTTAGGTCGGGTCAATAACAAGTCGTGTTGATTTCGTGTCGGGTAAGTAACAGATCGGGTTATATTTTTGGGTCGGGTTAGTAATAGGTCTGGTAAAATTCGGGTCGGGTCAATAACAAGTCAGGTTGAATTTGGGTCAGGTCAATAACAAGCCGGGTTGATTTCGGGTCGGGTTTGTAACAGGTTGGGTTAAATTCGGGTCGGGTTGAATTCAGGTCAGGTTAGTAACAATTCGGGTTAAATTCGGGTTTTGACGGGTTAAAACGGGTTTGGGTCAAGTTGAGTTCGGTTCAGGTCAATAATTTACGGGTTACATTCGGGTCGGGTCATCTCCAGGTCAGTTCATGTTCGGGTTCGTGTCTCACATACTCGGGTCTAGGGTTGGTTTCAGGTCGGGTTTGGGTCACCCTTTTTTCGGGTTTAGATGGGTCGGTTAATAATCGGATTTGAGTCGGTATTTCGGGTTGGGTCAACTTTTGACAACTCTATCTTAAACTATACCTCATATTTGTGTCGAATTTAATTTCAAAACATTTCACATTTCCTAGTAAACAATCATCAAAAAAAGGAAATAGATTCAAATACACAAGACTATACTGATGATTTTAATTTTTCACTACACATAAGTGATATCAATAGTTGAGTGTACCTCACATCTCTTTGATTTAAAACCTTAGTAACCTAAATTATTGTTATATATATATATATATATATATATATATATATATATATATATATATATATATATATATATATATCCCTTAATCTTGTTACAAATGGTGTACTTAAGAACTTCATGTTATCTTAGGTCTCGACTCTCGAGTTCAAAATATAATTCCTCCAGTGAAGTTGGCATACTTTTCCCAAAAAAAAAAAAAAAAATTCTCTTTCCTTAATATAAATTTTCTTTTTTTCCACAAATAACCGACAATTTTCAAGTAATACTCTTTATTATTTTACTTGTCATGTGTTTTAAATCCTTTATTTTGACAACATTGAACTAAACTTCAGAACCTAAAATTTTAAAACCACATCAATAATTTTTTTAGAAAATGATGATGAATTTATGTCATTTAATTATTGTATTATAACCATCTAATATTAACTGTAGCCCTTCATTTTTTAACCCTCTAATATTTCTTTTTAACTATGGGATGAGGATAAAAAAAAACCCACAAAACTATATTAAGATTAAAATCGTCCAATTGTATAACATTTTTGAAAGTATGTCGATATGAATGTCTATAGAAAGAGAATTAAAAGAGAATTTTATTGGTTTGATTATAACAAGTTTAAGATTAGTAGTTCATGAAATATCGTCAAATGAAATATTAATCAATTTTTATAAAAATCAGCTATCTTCATTAATGACGCTGAGTACGACGTCATTACCTCTAGTAAGAAATTTGTATTTATTAGTAACGTAATGTATTTGTTTGATAACGATTGTAATGTAATATATTTTTTAAGTAACATAGTAGTATGACACCAATAAAATTCGCCAACAAGTTTTTCCGTCTACTTGTACTATATGGCGCCAAACTCTAAAATTTTTCCTTCCCAATTTTCCCTCTCCCTTTTTTTTGGCTTATGACGAGTTGGCAATTTGTAAATGGTATTGTATACTTGGCCCACTGTAGCAATACTCGGCTGAATACTTTTGATTTGTTCTCCTCAAAATTGGTGTAGTTGCTTTGAACATCATACTCGTTGGCACACATTACGGCGCTATAATTAATGACTACTAAAGCATTATCATGCGTAATTAAGAACAAGACTCCTAGCACCTTATTCTTTGCTTATTGAAATCAAACTTATATTGTGTACCACAAATTTGATCCTGCCAGGTAAAATTTAACACTTTACAAGTTATTATTGTTGAAATAATCTTATATTGGTAAAAAAAAGTAACATAGGGCAAGAAATATAAGAGGTCATAAACAAAAGACTACAAGTTCAATCAATGTTAGTACACATTAGTTTATTGTACTATGGTTACAAGACAATGTGCATATAGTAGATTAAAAAAATTGAACAAAAGAATAATTTTGTTAAGTAATCACTTTATTATGTTCGTATGTATATAGGAGGGTATGTCAAACTAGTAAACTACCCAAGTTCCCTGTTTAATAAGGAGTTAAACCATCAGTCCGTCATACATATTATGTAGCACACTAGCATGGGATACCAGCACAGTGGAGAGTACAGGAAGATCAAAGATTTTAAATATACATAACTTAGTACAAATTTGCTCCAAGTCTAATGAGCAAATTTATTCCTTGCCGTACGGAGTATTGGTTCCCACAAATATATTTTCCAATATATTTTTAGGCAAAGAAAATACATTACTTTGTAATTATGTTACAATTATAATTTTTTTTTTTTAAAATGTTACTATTATAACCTCATTTCAAACTGACACTCCGCTTATCTGAAGATGCTCTTTCAACCACTTTTCCTGTATGGCTACGCTTAGCAAGGGTGCTCTTGGAGGTTGTGTCGTGTCTACTTAGAGACCGTTGCAAGATACGAATTGGGATCCCGCCCATATCAAAGTCTTCTTTCAAAGATTTTGTCAAAAACCGTATTTCCGTATCTGACAGCACTGTTTTCCCCTTAACAAAGGCAACAAATGTTGGTGGTCGAGCCTTCACCTGTGTGAAGTACTTTACCTTTGGTTGTGCAGCCTGATCTTTCCAAGAGTGCCTGCTCATAACCTAGAAACAGAAAATCAACACCTTTAGGATCTGAAAATCAGTACGCTGTGGATCATCTGAACTAAATTCAAATTAGAATTTCATTAGCAGGCACTGATTCTTAATCAAGACGATACTTTGGCTTTTATATTTTATCCGACCTCAAACAGAGAAATGGCACCTTTGCCATATTTTGGCCACTAGTTTGTCTTCCACAGACTAGGAAGCTACCATGGCTAACCATTAGTAATAGAGTAAATCATGGACTTGTGAATAATTATCAAGAATTCAAGATCAGGACACCAGCAGATCCTGCTTCATCTTAGTCAATTAAGTCACAATTTACTAGCTAACACATTTTGACCCTTGTGTCAAGTTGCCAAAAGAATTATCTAATATCTATATAAACTTTAAAGGACAATGGAAACATACCTTTCGCAACCAACGATTAAGTCTGGCTGTTGACAGCCGTAGACACCATTTCTCGTAAGTGTCAGTCACCTGACGCATGACTGCTATACGACCCTTTCCCTCCCGAGCAGAAACAAATATAACTGGTATTCCAGTTACCTGATGACAGGAGAGGGTTACTCAGTTTTACAAAAATAAGATATTTCATGACCTCAGTTAGGATTTTGGTGCATAACAAGTTAACAACTTAACAAGTCAAGGAGTAAGTTTATTTTAAGTACACGTAATAAGATATTTAGATATGACAATGTTACATCGATTACCAAAAATTGATGTTGGTGAGTAATTTTTCAAGAAAGAGAGGAGGAGAAATTCAAATTAGGGTTTCTTTATAAACAGAGCAATCTGTGAGACTGTGACAAACAAACTCCTTCCTTTCACTCTCTCTTCCCCAAGTTCCAAAACAAGGATTAAAGCCCAATTTTCTCAGATGCAATTAGTTTTCTTATTTCCTCACTCACTTATAACTGAAATTTGGACAATCAACTCCTCACCCTTAAATTCTCTCATACACTGCATACCAGACCCATTAATTAAAGCACAAATAAGTTTTGTGGGAATTAATATATCATTAGCGCATGGAAGATAATAGAACTGACTCATCAAACAAGCTCATATGCTTAAATCTTGAAACACTATCACAAGTGATAAAAAGGACTAGCAACAGAGAGCTATAGAATGAAAGTTTTAAAAAGCAAACCTGCGGTATAAGTTTCTGAATCTCCTCAGGAACAGCTTTAATGAAGTCTCCATATAATTTAGACTTCTGCTTTCCTTTCAAAAGATCCATTTTATTTACGATTACTATCAAACCACGTCCTTCTTCCACTGCCTGTCTAGCTATAACTATTTCGGCATGCTTCATGCTCCTCTTGGTCTTTGCAACCTAATAGCCAAAATGAGGAGGCAATAAACAATCAAAAATTTATTATGGTACACTAACAAGAAGAGGAAGCAAATCAAATCTATATATAGAAAGGCACAATTTGAGAGAGGGAGAGGGCAGGCTATATGCCAGATGGGGGAATCTCTATTGCCTCTATTACAACAGTTTCTCACACAGCTAAAAGGAATTGAACTAAATCTAAAAGACATTATGCAATCAGCATGCTAGGAACTTGACACAGGAGCTGCATACTTCAAGAACTTTTAGCACTATTACTACTTATATTTCTTACTTATATTTATTATTTCCTCTGCTACAGTTTCTCGCACTTTCATTTTACAAATTGTTTGAGCTTCTGATTTTACTATGTGCTATTCTCCAATCATCGTGATTGTTTTGATTCAAAAATAGCCTTTCTCATATAGTTTCAGGCAATGATGCATGGCTCAACAACCTCTTCAAACCCCCACCCAAAAAGGTTGGAGTTGTCTCACTTTTTGATGAAGTGAATGGGTTAGCAAGAAGTTGCTGATGAGAACAAGTAATGAAGATTTCAAAATTCAAACCATCTCTTGGTTACAAAAAATTACTATCAAGATTTTGTCAATGAAAAATATTCTTCTCCATATTAATGCTACGTAGCTCAAACAGTGGAGTTCATCAAGAGTTCTTTACGATGAGCTATATCATTAAAACTGAAGGAAATGGTCTGTCCCATAGCAATTTGGCCAATATCGTCCATGGAGCAGGGACCTGGCCAGTTAAGCAAGCTCAAGCCCATAAATTATGGTAGTAATTAGACCACCTTTTATCTATTGAGCAAAGTTGGCAAGTTAAAGAAGATCACTCCCATAGCATTATTGTGGCAATTCAAAGAAGAGGATCCATTGTGGATGTTTTGGGCATACAAGAAGAAGAGGATCCATACAAGAAAAGATGAGATTAAAGATGAAACTACGAAAGTAACAAGGGTGGAGTGGGTTAAAATTTAAGGATTTAAAAAATGAGATGACAAATTGTTTGGGCATGTTTGGTCACGCCAAACAGAAAATAATGTTTGGTGATTGAAGATCAACAAGTCATTCATAGCCCCAGAGAATCATAAATGGTGAGGTGAGATAATTCTTTCCCAGACAAGGTTCTTATTTTAAAGCTTTGCCTTTTATCTGCCAGCTCTATAACACAACTATGTATGAAAAAATGACCCACTGTAGTAAGTAGAGATCCTCTCACAGCATAGCTAAAAAAAGGTATAGCTTGAAGAAGAATTGGAATGAGAATTTAAGGCAAATAATGGCTTTGCTGAAGATTACAGATGATAACATAGCATTACTAGTTTACTACCAACAGAATCAGTGGCAATTTGAAAATCCGCTACTTGAGCCTTGGCAGGAGAATTCTCGTTTCTTTTTCACCCCTCATAATGAATGGTTTGCTTCTTAGGAATCAATGGTGATTTTCAAATTCTATATTTCTATAACTGCTTTCATTCTAATTCAAAGAAAAATAAATTCTAATCATTTGACTAAATGATTAGCCTTTCGTAAACAACAATTCTAAGGATTTTGAATGCCCAATGATAAGGCTGTGTATATAGCTACAGATGGAATCTGGACCTACTCAGACCCTGTCTTACCAAAAATCATACAGGTTGGTTGTAGTTGCAGTTCTAAATACCTCTTTTGCTTTTTATACCTTATTCATGGTATGGTTTACCTTATTATTTAAACTGAATTATATAAAATCTTCTTATCTAAATAAACTGTCTAATGTCAACCTTAAACATAGCACTGCAAGGGAGAATCAATGGCTTACCTCCTCTCCATCAAGAACCAATGCAATTACATGAGCCCTCATAAGATTTTTCCTGGTTTGCATAATGCTCAATGAAGCAGGGCCTTTCTCTTTTGTCCTCTCCAACCAGCCAGCAGTGTCAACCTGAAGAAAGTAAACAAAATATCATTCACATTTTTGGAAGTCATAAATCAGAAGTCTGCTAATTTGACATTTCATGTGATACATTTTGGAACATCCAGGAGAATGTGTGATAGTACCAAACATTTAAGGAGGTGAAAGATTATATATATTAAAATTAGTTTGAGAAATTTAAATATACTTCAGTAGAGCTACATTAATTAGGAAATTATCATTATCTGAATTCCTGAAGTATGTTCTTTCCGTGCATATTTATAATATGAAATCTTCTAAAAGCAGTGTCTAAACGCATCAAATAAAAAGTCTTAGCAGCTAAATAAGGTAAAATAACTGAATAACTGTCCTTAAGATTTGAGAAATATGATGGAGGCTTTAGGAACGGTAAGACAATACAAAAAAAATAAGAACAGTAAGTTCTTGACCTCTATGTGACAGTAATATAACAGTACTACTGTATAGAGTAATCCTGAGAGTTCATAGAGCAGGCTATTAGGATAACTAATTGTAAATGTATGATTGGAGTAGATTAATATAAAACTGGATCACAGAAACAACCTCTCAACTATTAATCAAGGACCATCCACACAAGACATAATACAACTACTTATGAAAACGTTCTTAATGCATAACCAGACTTAGGGAGGAAACAGGGTTAAAAATTAAACACTGATAAAGACCAGCCACAGAGTGACCAATACAATTTTCCTCTACACATGTCAATAGAAGAAATTTAGACCACATTAAAAAGCTTATGATGAAATGGGTTATTGAATACAGATCAAGACTTTATGAAGTTGCGCTATAAATATTTTCTCATATTGGTAAGCATCTATAGGATGTTGTACAGGTTAAAGACTTTATGGAACCATAATTTTATATGTACAGGTGCAGGGTTTGATATTTTAACGCTTCTTAAGAATATATGGAACCATAAATTACAAGACATATAACAAACAAGTTAGAGAGCAGTTATCCATATAAGGGACTTGGTCTACATGACCCAAGCCTGAAAAGGGTGCAAAACACAAGAAATACAGCCGGAAACAAGCTGCGAAGAACCAGGGAGCAATTTAATCAACAGCGCAGAAGCCACTTGATTAGGCATCTTTAGAGCACTGTGGTACTACATTATGGATCTTCTTCACTTCAATCATGACAATGGTTAGCCCAAAAAGATTATGGGCTACTATATTAGTTTCTCTGCTATTGATCAGAAAAGAAATCTTTTAATTTATCTTGATGCAGAAGTACACATCAGAAATGACCATATTCATAACAGCAGTGGTGGATCTTGAAAAAAATTCTTTAGAGGGTCGATCAAAATTAAATGTGTTACATATAAATACAATCATACAACTGAAGTAATACAAACAAATGAGATCAATATCGCCAAATTTATACTTCATTAATACATCCTAAGGTTTAGAATAGAATTAGAGAAACAAGTAATAATAATAGCTAGAGAATCTAGATGGTAGGAGATAACGTAGGTGGAAAGGTCAAAATACTTAAAAGTGGGTTTTAAGCTTTAGCTTTGCAATTGTAGAGTATATTAGAAACCATATACGTACTAGATATAGTTGGGCCTACTCTTACACATTATTTTTACTAGGCTATGTCAATAAATTACAATAGCCACCCTAATAGTTTTTTGGGCTTGGACCAGGGGCCAGGCACCTAATCCCCCCCCCCCCCTCCTCTCTCGATGATCCGCCATTGCATAACAGAGATGAGCTTCTGCATTTTACAGCATCATTTTAATTGCAAATGCATCCATATACACCTCCTGCTCTTGGGAATAGAAGTACTTAGCATGCACTATTCTAGCCCAAATCATACCGAATTAATGGACAATGAAGTAATAGTAAATGCAGGGTTTGATATTTGTGACAATAGCTATATACACTATATTAAATGATGCTAAGACGTCCTTGGAGAACAAATATTTTCCTAAAAAAATTATATCACACACATAAGCATATGGCAACTTCTTCTTCAAAGATGATATGTAAATATTATTAAGAGCAAATCAGGAAAGAATGTATGGACCAGATGTGCATAAGAACACCGGAAAAGGCTGATGAACTTATCAAGGATCAAGGCTCTCAGAGTCTCAGATTGCATCACATATTTTAAAGGACTTCCATATTATACCACAGAGTCACAAACACAAAGGATGTAAAAGCAAGCTAGCAGACCAATCAGGTATTTTATGTTATCTATATCAACTATAGAACATTCTATGTTCATGACCCATATGAGAAGAAAGCAAAGCAGAGGACACAAAATGATATATATCATAAAGAAAGTATTTTAAGAAGACATGGCAAACAATAGTTATAATACTATAAACAGCTACAATAAAATATTTTTCTTTGATCATGCTATTATTTAAAGTTCAATAAGTATCACCATGAATTACCAAAATAAAAAAATAAAAGGATAGAACAAGAAGCACTCTACCATATATACAGTTCTGCCATCATACTGAAACTGAGCTCGAATAGAATCTCTTGTCAGACCAGCTTCTGGTCCCACCAGAACACGCTCTTCTTGTAATAATGTATTCAGTAAGGTTGACTTTCCAACATTGGGCCGTCCAACAATTGCCAGCTGTAGAGGTAACTTAGATTCTTCAGGCTCAGGAGAGCTTTCCAGAGTAGCTTCATCTAAGAATACAGAGATTTTATATTCAAGAATAATAAGATCAAGCAAAAACAAGCTTGTCGAATGTGGTAAACAGGATCAAAATTAGGCAGTAACTCAGTAGTCAGTACAGTAAGAAAATCAATATTTTCATTAGAGATGGAAAAGAACCATCATGACGACTCTCTCCGTACCAGAATAACTGAAACGTTAGACTTTTTTCACTATTCATGTATTAGAATTGACCATAAATTTTTTATAACATAATATTATCTTTAAAATAATTTTCATTGATAGTTAATTATAGAAAAATAAAGTCAAACTAGTGCATCAGCATGTGTGCAACCTGTCAGTTATTTGGGAGTATAAGACAGTTTGAAACAATAATATAATATAGTATAACCATGACAATGCAACAGAATTTTCACATATCCTCAGTCACAAACTGGAAAGAAGACCGAAGGGAGAGAAAGTGTGTAAAAACACATGCATGTGCACCGCAATGTGAACATGAAATCATGCATTCCTATGCGCCTCAGAGACACAAAACTGAGAAAGAAAACTAAACTGGTGCTATGAATCAGCATAGCTTAAAAACTATCAAAGGCAAAACTTAAAGAAAAAGAAAATGGTTGAATATTAATCATAAATTGAAAATTACAGAAATGTCAAATGTGCATGATATTTAGCTCATTATTCTAACATACTCCGTATTAGTTAGCATGGCTAGCTGACAGATGTTGAAATAAATGAACATTTTAAAGTAAGGGTATCATCTTCAAATGCCACTCAAAAGCTAGTTTTAATCTTTCAACTTTTTTCTTACTTTCCTTTTGCGCATGTGCAGATTGACAGCACTGTTGGCAAACAAGACAAGGCAAAATTAAGATCATGAAGGGGTAGCAAAAATGAGGAGCAGAACAACCACGTAGTCCACAAACCCATCCTCCTAATTCTTAAGCACAAACAATTATTTACTGTAGCAGATTAGTAATTCAATGGGAACTTAACAAAATAAACTTGTCCATATCGTTTCCCCTTGTCAGTAGTTCTACAATTGTATTCCTTCCCAATCACTAATGTGTTTCTTTAACAGTAACTGATGTTTTTTCTTTTGAGAAGGGGAGGGGGTAGATGAGGGGAAGCTGTTGTTGCAAACTCAATAAGTTTAGTAAATTAGCACACATACAGCCATACTGTGTAATTATATAAAGACAGCTGAAGCCATTTTGGAATTATTAGAATTTTCCTATGATGTGTAACAGCCAAAAGGTACACTGAGGAAGTGAGGAGCCAACTACATATTTTCAGTGGAAAGAAATTATTGAACAATGCCGCAAATATTTAGGGGCCGTTTGGTTGGGGGTATTCAAGAAAGGGAAAGGGAATCAACTACCTTAAATCCCTTTGATGATGTTTGTTACACACAATCAATCATTCCCTTTACCCTTCCTATTACCCCATTTTCCTCTACTTTGATCCCCCCCCCCTCTAGGGAATTACTCTTTCCCCCAAATCCCTCTTCACCCAACTGCCATGAACACCTTGTAACTACCTTTGACCAACATTGAAAACACCACCCAACAATCAAAACCACCGCCCAGAACCATAGCCGCCGCCTAGCCGCCATCACCATTGTTTAACCACCACCAGATGCACCGCCCAGCAACCATAGCCGCCGCCTTAGCTGCCATCACCATTGTTTAACCGCCGCCAGAACCACCGCCCAACCGTTGACACCACCACCATCAACCGACCCAACTTCACCGGCATAACCAGCCTCTCAAATTTCCCTACACCCACCGGAAAAAACCCACCCTCCTTGACAACCACCCCACCGAAACCACCCTAAATCCACCCTCCCCGAAAACAATTGCACCAAATCGACCTAAACCCACCGGAAAACCCATCCATGTGAACCACCTCACCCAATTCGACACAACCACCACCCATATCTCCAAAACCTCCAGATTCACCACAAAAACCACCCAAAAAACCCTATATTTCTCCATAAGCACCCCAAGTTACCCACAAACATCTAAAAATAATCCTTAACACCCTATAAACAACCAAACAACTAGATCTAATAAATAAGAGAAGAGGACATCAACGGCGGTAGAGGGGAGGGAACCAGTGGTGGCAAGGGCAGGCGATAGGGGAGACGGTGGCAGGTCGTGAGGAGGGCGGTGGCTAACGTGGTGGTGGTAGGTGAAGAGTAGATTTAAGGGGTAGTGGTGGTTGTAGAAGGAGAGTAGTGGTGGTTGCTGATAAGTGTCATTTATGTCGCTATTTTTAGGAGTTTTCTAGTTAGTTTTTCATAGTTTTTCTATCTTTTTACTTGGTTTTAATAACGTTTTACTACATTTGTCATGTTTATGTGTGAAATGTCGTTATTGCTCAATTTTGGCTTTTCTTGCATATTTTGGTGGCTTATGACATTAGATTAAACTTTATTGGTTTACTCTTATGTTTAAGAACACTTGGATAAGTTCATTGCTCAAGATTGAAGAAATATAAAACATAAAAGATCAAGTAATGAAGAAATGTGCACTTGATTTGCAATGATCAAACTTCAAACGCCTATATCTTTTGATCTACAAAACATTTTGGGGCAATTCCAATTGGAGATGAAATCTTATCTTGAGAGCTTTCCAAAGACAGGTCATATGCCCAATTCCGTTGTAAAACGTGGGAGATATGCTCATTTGAAGCTGAGCGGTTTGCCCAGTCCGATAGGAGCGGGCGCGCATCCTATGAGGAGCGCCCGCTCTAAACTTTCTGGAACGATTCTGCCATATTTTGCTGCAGCTAGAGCGCCCGTGCACGAAATTGGAGCGCCCGCTCCTCTGCACGCTGCTCGACTTTTTGCGGAGCTTCCTAGGCAATTTAGTAAGGGGTATAAATAGATTTTTTGCTCATTTTAGGGGGAGAATTCATATTTTCAGTAGTTTTAGGTTTTTAGAGAAAGAAACTCTCAAATTTTGGAGAGAGAAAGTGAGAGAAACAATGGTTTTCATGGATTTTGGATAATCAAAGGAGGAATTTGATGATTTGAAGATCTCCATTTTATATCAATGAGCATTTCTTACTCTCTTCTCTCTTTATGCTTTATTAATTTCTTTGTTAATCATGTTTGAGTAGATTTCCTTCTACTAGGTGTTGAGTGAAGCTTTGTTATGGTTAATTGAGTTATTTGAGATAAATTTGATGATAATTGTGTGATTAAATTGATTGAATTGATGATGGCATGTTGTTTGTTTTAGATTGGATTGATCTCCCAAGATAGCAAACTTAATTGCATGTTAGTTCTAGTTTGACAAGGGATTGTGAATTAGAATTTATATATTTGATTGCATTTTGGGTAAATTTCTTCTATGCACCTAGTCAATGAGGGATCTAGGCTAGGAATTTGAGAGATTGCTCTTGATGGTAATTAATTCCCATTTTAATTCTTTCTTTGCATGATTGATTATCAAATCGATTCCCATTAACTTGTTAATTGTTCAAAGTGGATCTTTGCCCCTAGTAGACTTTGTAATATCTTGATCTTTATATGTGTGTTAGTGTAGTTGTAGTGTCCACTATCCATAAACCGACTTCGGCGTAGCTTAAGCATTAGATCGAGAACAATCCAACATTACCGTTCCTTGTGGTTCGACTCCGAACTTACCACTAGACTTGTTTAGGGGTTAGTTTAGGATTATAATAAATTTTGTTTGGCCGTGAGGAGGTTAGTCAACGACATAATTTCCCCGCGCTCAGTTGCAAATGTGATTCCCTTTGTTTATGTAAAACAAACAACAATACAAAAAATGAAGGATTAGCTTTCCTTTCTCTTCCTTTCCCTTTGTTGATTTCATTCCATTTAACTTGTGCGAACCAAACGGCCCCTTAGAAACAGCAATGACTATAAATGATTAAGATACGCAGTCTTCAAGGGCATTTTTAGGAAGGTCAAAAATCACATACCATTTATGATTTGGAACATATGCTCCTCCAGCAAGGGCTTTAGAGCACCATAAAGTTCTGACATGCCCAAACCAGTCTCAGCAGATATAGCAATAGGGTCACCAAAACCTAATCTGCATGCTTCACCAGCAGCTGCTGCAAGTGACCCATCTGACTCATCTAGAGATTCAGATTTATTCATCACCAGAACAATTTTAATTCCAGGCGCATGCTTACGCAGCCACTTCCCAACCTGTAAATCCATGGATTGCAAGCCATCTCTACATGATTAACAGAGGAAGATATCAATATATACATAGTCTGTCACTTGTTGTCAAATTATGAATAAAGTGTCAAAAGATAGGGAGTAACTAGCACTCTAGCAGGCAAAGGGATCAAAACCATCTTTCACACAAACCTCCTTGATTTTATAATACCTTTGAATATCATGCTCTGTGACTTCTTAAAAGTTCTAGTGTTTAGAACTTAAAAAGTCCCCAAAAGTTAACCTTAATGCACTTTTCTGTTACAAAATCATTACTAATTTCTCAAATCTGTTCCAGCAATTAAATTTTCCATCACATTTTCTGCTTAAAGATAGGACTCACAAGTCATTCTGCCCCATACCAAAGAAATAGCACATACCTTGCAGCAATCAAGAAGATGGCAAACTGGGATCTCGACAACACATTGGCTGTCATATCTGCAGTTCGTCCAAGGATAGACCCTGAAGTTGCCGCCGCTTCTAAGCCAGCTGAATCAAGTACCTGGAACCGCAAATCTCCCAGTTTGGCAATCCCATCCCGTATATCACGAGTCACATGATCAGCAGGAGTGTTATATACAAGAGCCTCTCTCCGCTGAATTAAACTACAATGATAACACAGGCATTAACATAGACAATCAATATCACTAGTCACTCAACACAACTATCACTAAAGATTTCGAACTAAACCAAAACAGTGTACCGGTTAAAGAGGGCAGATTTGCCCACATTCGGCCGCCCCACAATAATAACAGTAGGAAGCAATTCCTTATCCACCTGTGTAAAGTCCACCAGCTTCTTGCTCAAACTCTTGGTTTTCACTTTTTCAACAAGATTCTCCTCAGCAAGCTCGGATGCATTACAGTCGAAATCCGACTTTTCAGATATGCAAGTGCTAGACCCCGGCAAACTACAAAAACCGGCAATGCTTGTGCATTGGCACCTTAAAGGCGAGCTAAGTCCTAATCCAACACAACCTCCTACTCCTACTCTACCTTTTCCATGTACCCAATTACCTAACAATGAACCTGAAATTTCAAATTTTCAAATTTTATGACAAATTTTGAGTTCTGACTTACCAAAGCAATCCATTTACTCAAGCAAGACTTAGAATATATGCAATCAAATCAAAATTCCAATTCCTTTAGAACTACAACAATCATTCTCCAGTTATATCTTAACTAAAACAATGAAAATCACATAACTTCAAGTAAACTAACATAACTAATTAACTATATATCAAATAAAACAATAAATTAAAATAATAATCGAAAAGTGATAAAAGATTGAACTGGGTATTACCAAACGTTGAAGTTGGGGATGAATTAAGAACATTTCCACCATTGCAAAGATAATTTGAACCTGGGTTATCAACCAATATACTAATACTTCTGCTGTGAATTAAAACTTGAGAGCTTGTTTGGTAGAGAAAACCCAATAAAGGGTGTCTCCTTTTTCCAATAGAAATTGCACGAAGCCATGAATTCGGCATCACAGTGCTTTCTTACTGTAAATCAAAATGTTGTGCGACAGCGGAAGCAAAGGTCGAAAACAAACAAGAAAACAATAAAGAAATTCAATGCAAACAATAAGAACAACACCAAGAATTTACGTGGTTCACTATCGATGTGATAGCTACGTCCACGGGCACCGAGATCGAATGATTTCACTATAAACTGCAAAGATTACAAAGATGATTCTTGTATTTCTCAAGAACGGCTCTCACTCTGTCTCTCTTAACCCTAATACTGATATTAGGGAGGTTTTATATTAATCCCTAATTAAAAGATACTTGGGCAAAAAGATAATAAAATAAGATAACCTAAAACCGCAAAATCCGCGTTCCGTATTTTTCCTTCTCCGCCCGGTCAGACCGGGCAAGGTCTGCCCGATCGGGCGCGAGAAGAAAACTCCATACGAATGCTTCAACGTATCCAACCCCCACCGCCCGGTCAGACCGGGCAAGGTCTGCCCGATCGGGCGAAGGCTCGCCCGGTCGGGCGAAGGCTCGCCCGGTCGGGCGCGAGAGCAGCTTCTTCAACGAATTTGCCAGGCACCTCTTCTTCTTCCGCCCGGTCAGACCGGGCAATGTCCGCCCGATCGGGCGGACAAAGCTACGAAGTACGAGTCACCTAATATACTTATCAACAATCTCCACCTTGACGAGAACTCGTAGTCAGCAAACGACCCCATCAAGACATAGTGAAAAAACATCTCAAGCCAAACCCGATGCAGGACTCATGCATAAGCCATACATCCCGATAAGTCTTCAACCAAGACCCATCACATACTCGTCTCCAAGTATAACAACTCATAATGCTCCACCTGCATCACAAGCCCCGGGCAAGCTCCACCTTAATGCCAACACACCTACACCAGGAGCTCCCCAACTTCGCCCCTCAGGGCCTACTACATCACGTAGTAATCAATATTTAGCAAGTCTAAGCAATGTTTAAACTTGCTAAACGGAACAGGCTTAGTGGAGAAATCAGCCGGGTTGTCAGCAGTCCCAATCTTCTTCACCTTAATCCTCTTGTCAGTACGCAAGAAATGATACCTGACATCAATGTGCTTCGTCCGATCATGGTGTACTTGATCTTTAGCTAAGCAAATCGCACTTAGACTATCACAATACACTGTAGCAAAATCCTGTGCAATACCCAGTTCACCTACTAGGCCTTTGAGCCAAATAGACTCCTTAGCTGCAGAAGTTAAAGCCATATACTCAGCTTCAGTAGTTGACAACGTAACTGATGACTGCAATGTAGACTTCCAACTAACCACAGAACCACCCAAAGTGAACACATAACCAGTCACAGACCTCCTGGTATCCACATCAGCTGCATAATCAGAATCACTGTACCCAGTGACCAAGCATTCCTTACCATTCCCGTACACAAGACCAATATCAGCTGTCCCTCTCAGGTAGCGAAAAATCCTTTTCACCCCTTGCCAGTGTTCCCTCCCAGGTCGAGCCATAAACCTGCTTACAACACTAACAGCATGCGCAATATCCGGCCTAGTACAGACCATAGCATACATCAAACAACCAACCGCGTTTGCATATGGAACTCTAGACATATAAGACAACTCCTCCTCTGATTGAGGTGACATAGACAAAGACAACTTACAACTAACAGTAGTTGGCGTACTTATAGGCTTCGATTTTTCCATCCCAAAACGAGACAGAATCTTTTCAATGTAGCTTTTCTGAGTCAAGAAAAGCTTACCTCTAGCCCGATCCCTGTAGATCTCCATACCCAAAATCTTCCTAGCTGCACCCAAGTCTTTCATGTCAAACTCCGAGTTAAGCATCTCCTTTAATCTTTTGTACCACTGTCGGGGGGATTGCTTAAGTCCATACAATGACTTTAGCAATCTGCAGGCATAGTGTTCCTTTCCAGGAGCTTCGAATCCTTCGGGCTGCTTCATCAGAATCTCCTCCTCCAAATCGCCATGAAGGAAGGCCGTTTTAACATCCAACTGCTCCAGCTCAAGATCAAAATGTTCTACAATTGACAATAACACACGGATAGAAGTATGTCGAACCACAGGTGAGAATATCTCAACAAAGTCAACCCCTTCTACCTGACTGAACCCCTTAGCAACTAGCCTAGCCTTAAAACGTATTTGCTCAGTTTCCGACAACCCTTCTTTCTTCTTGTAAATCCATTTACAACCCACAAGCTTCCTCCCTTCCGGTACCTTTACCAGTTCCCACACTCTGTTCTTGTAAAGGGACTGCATCTCTTCACCCATTGCGGCAAGCCATTGCGCAGACTCACTACAACTAATTGCTTGTTTATATGTGGCAGGTTCAAATGACTCTACATCATCAGCTACACTCAATGCATAACCTGTCATCGCATCAACACAGCAATTTCTTCCCTCCATCTCTTCAATCAATCTAACAGGCTTCTTGATAACTCGTTTAGGCATCTCAAGAATGGTGTCAGGTTGACTAGATGACCCCTGATTAGATTGCTCCACCTCATCCCCAGAGTTAGAATGAGTAGGAGTAATCTCAGGTTCAGGAGTACCCGGCACTGGAACATCAGCATCATCATCAATATATTGTACCCGAGGTAAATCAGCAATGGTAGACTGATGTACCTCAAGTACCCCATCTGTCTGTAATAAATTGTCTCCTTCCCTTCTCAAATCTGAAATCTCTGCATTTTTAATTGAATACATGGTGTTTTCATCGAAAGTAACATCCCTACTAAGAATGACCCGACCCTCCGAAGGTGAAAAAATTCTAAACCCCTTCACACCATCCCCGTACCCAACAAAACACCCCTTCTTGGCTCGTGGATCCAGCTTACCCTCAATAACATGATAATAAGCAACACAACCAAAAATCTTCAAATTCGAAAAATTAGGCAACTTACCACTCCAGATCTCAAACGGAATCTTGGAATCAATTCCAGAATGAGGACCCCTATTAATGACATAACAAGCTGTTAACACAGCTTCACTCCAGTACCTCCTCCCAAGCCCTGCATTAGAGAGCATGCATCGGACTCTCTCTAGCAGTGTCTGATTAACCCGTTCTGCTACACCGTTCTGCTGTGGTGTCTTCCTGACAGTATGATGCCGACCTATACCCTCATCTGCACAGAACTGATTAAACTCGTCTTTGCAAAACTCTAGCCCATTGTCCGTTCGTAGCTTCTTGATCTTCCTTCCTTGTCGATTTTCCACCAAAGCTTTCCATTGCTTGAAAACTTTGAAGGCCTCATCCTTTGACTTAAGCAACCTAAGCCATGTGTATCGGGACTTGTCATCAACAAATGACACAAAATAGTGGTAACCTCCCATACCTTCAACTCTAGATGGACCCCAGCAATCTGAATGGATGTAATCGAGCACTGCATCAGTAATGTGAGCACCCTTGCTGAACTTTGACCTGTGTTTCTTACCAAACACACAATGCTCACAAAATTCAAGGTTGGCAACCTTGACCCCGGATAGAAGACCCCTCTTGGACAATAGCTGCATCCCCTTCTCCCCCATATGACCAAGCCTCATGTGCCAAATCTTAGTCATCTCCTGGTGAGATACAGATGCGCAAACCGCAGAACTAGGCAGTGTAACACCCTCAAAAACATAGAGGGTGTTCCTTTTGATACCCTTAAGTACCAACTCAGAACCTCTGAAAATACACAACTCCCCATCTGAAAACACACCATTGTACCCCAATTCATCCAGGGTACCCAATGAAATCAGATTCTTTCCTAAAGCAGGAACATGCCGTACATTAGTCAAAGTTAACCTCCGCCCATCAACAGTCCTCAACCTCATGGAACCAATACCTGTGACCTTACATGGAGCATTGTTACCGACTATAACCATACCCCCATTGCGAGGTTCATATGTATCAAACCAATCTCGACGTGGACACATATGGAACGAACACCCCGAATCTAGAACCCAGTTATCAGATAAATCATCAGACCTAGCAGAACTGACTAATGCTAAATCTTCCTCTGAATTATAGCTCTCATTCGGTTTCTCTTCAACTACAGCAGCCTGGGACTTGTTTTTCCTCACCGGACAATTATTCCTAAAGTGACCCGGTTCTTTACAGTAATAACATGTTTTAGTAGTAGTTTTACTAGATCCATCCTTGCCGTTTCCAGCACCCGACCCAGCATTGTTCCCCTTGTTAAACCCCTTATTCTTTTTAGACTTTCCGGACTTAACAAACAACCCACTACCATTATCCCCATTATCACTCGTAGCTTTCATTCTGAGTTCCCTAGTATGAAGTGCTGCCTTCACTTCTTCTAAGGTTATAGAATCCTTACCAACAACAAAAGACTCTACAAAATTCTCAAAGCTAGACGGTAGAGATACAAGTAAAATCAACGCAGCATCCTCATCATCAATTTTAACATCTAAATTACGTAAATCAAGCAAAATAGAGTTAAGTTTTTCTAGATGTTCCCGTAAGGAAGTACCTGACTGCATCCGGAGGCTAAACAACCGCTGTTTCAGTAATAATTTGTTGGTCAACGACTTAGTCATATACAATGACTCCAGCTTCAGCCACAATCCAGCCGCCGTTTCCTGATCAGCCACCTCCGTGATGATTTGATCATCAAGACTAAGTAATATGGTAGAGTGTGCCTTCTCTTCCATAACTTCTAACTGCGAGTCAGTCGGTCCGTCTCCTGACTCCGAAGTAGTACTCTTTGGAGCCAACGGACGCCATATCTGCTGTTGTTTTAACAGAGCCTTCATCTTAATTTGCCATAGCCCGAAACTATTTTTCCCGGTAAACTTCTCAATTCTTATTGTTGAATCTCCTGCCATTGTTATCTTCAAGAAACTCTCCAAGGATTGAACCTGAGCTCTTGATACCAATTGTTGTGCGACAGCGGAAGCAAAGGTCGAAAACAAACAAGAAAACAATAAAGAAATTCAATGCAAACAATAAGAACAACACCAAGAATTTACGTGGTTCACTATCGATGTGATAGCTACGTCCACGGGCACCGAGATCGAATGATTTCACTATAAACTGCAAAGATTACAAAGATGATTCTTGTATTTCTCAAGAACGGCTCTCACTCTGTCTCTCTTAACCCTAATACTGATATTAGGGAGGTTTTATATTAATCCCTAATTAAAAGATACTTGGGCAAAAAGATAATAAAATAAGATAACCTAAAACCGCAAAATCCGCGTTCCGTATTTTTCCTTCTCCGCCCGGTCAGACCGGGCAAGGTCTGCCCGATCGGGCGCGAGAAGAAAACTCCATACGAATGCTTCAACGTATCCAACCCCCACCGCCCGGTCAGACCGGGCAAGGTCTGCCCGATCGGGCGAAGGCTCGCCCGGTCGGGCGAAGGCTCGCCCGGTCGGGCGCGAGAGCAGCTTCTTCAACGAATTTGCCAGGCACCTCTTCTTCTTCCGCCCGGTCAGACCGGGCAATGTCCGCCCGATCGGGCGGACAAAGCTACGAAGTACGAGTCACCTAATATACTTATCAACACAAAATTAGCTTTTGGGGGTTCCTCTGAAATGAATTAAGCTTGAAAATAATTTGTTGTTTTGTTCACTATTTTGAGTATTTTCTACCAGTGGCATTTGCAATAACATTGATGAAAGTGCGACTGTATTTTTTCCAATTTCAACTTCTGAACAAGAATTGAAACTTGGGACTTTGGGAGAGTTTGAAACCGAGGACTTGAAATGGGTTTTTGGCACTAGAAATGGGCATGGAATGGCCCGGATCAATATGTGGGCAAAGCCCGAAACAGTATCACACAACACAAGAGTGCCACCGAGTGGGACATGAGCCGTGCATGAATATTATTTTTGAATTTTTGTTTAGAGGTACTTTTTGGCATGACACATGGGTTGACTAGTCGGATCTCAGATGTATATGAGCCCTATTTATAAAAGATCAACGTACATGAGCTCAACATGAAATAGTTATTCCTCGGTGTATTAGAGGCATGGGCTTTGTTGGCATGAATGTGGGTCTACATCACCTAGCATATGTCCCGCTTAAACTTTTGCTTTTAGTAATCATACTTTTAACTAAATTATCATATTTACACCGCGATTTTGAAATTAAGATACGAGTATAATTCTACGTAGTTAGGGCTTAGGAATAGTTACCATATTTAACCCTTGGTAAATAAATTTTTTCAATAGGTCTTATTGAGTAAATAAAAAATACTCTAAAATTGAATCTATTTTTTTAATCAATTTTCACTTACCGTGTCAAGTGACTACCGAATAGACTAAAATGTAGTGATAATTGTAGACTTATGGACATTTTGGTACACTAGTAAGTGTTAAGAAATGAAATGTTTGGTGTCATCCATACTTTTTGAGTAGAATTTTAGCTAGATATGGCTCTACAGTAGATCATAATTCAAATTTATTATTATTATGAAAAAATTTCAAAACAACTCTCTGCAAGAATATCCATGGTAGTAGTTAGAAAGCAATAACAATTAAATCAAGATCAATTAAATTAAATTCCAAAGAGGCTATGCCTTAAAATGGTCCAATCAGTCACCATGTAACCAAAACAATGATAAAATCTAGTATACACTGTGCATATTGTAACCCAGCATAATAATAATAATAATAATAATAATTTGGTGGCCTGGACTGAGTATGAGTAAAATTGAGCTCATGAAGATCAACCTTTGTAAACGTACGAGCAAATAATAACTGCAAAAATAGTAGCAGAATCGCGATGAGTTAGACAACTAATTGCTTGCTCGTCGATTAGTCTTGTTATTTTCCTCAATTTTAGAAGCCTTAGCAGCTTCAATGCGAATTTGGTAGTAAGCAACGAGTCGTTCCCAAGGGGGTAGATTTTCTTTTATGACTTTGCAAGCAATAAAATCATCTTTCCATTTGCTTAGCAATGGGAATGACTCTTTTGTGAGTATTTTCTTTCCAGCAGCCTTTTGAATGGCATCAAGCCAATATGCAATGAAATTGGCTACTATGTCAAGATAACCTATGCTTGTTCCTCCAAAGAATTTCTTCCCTTCGAGTTCCTTCTCTAATGCATTCAAATTGTCTCGCGCTTCCTTTTCTGCTTTTACTTGTTCATTTTCGGGTCCCCAAAAGGCTTTCCAAATTGAAGGCAAGCACTATATATATGAACAACAAAATTTCAATTAGTTTCATCCAACAAAACTGTTTCGGATGAAAACAATCGAATCTCGGAAGATCCTTTTATCTTGAGGGAACTTGGTCTCGGTCCGAACGACGCAGGAGCCGAGGGTTTCCTGCACAACAAATACACGTAAACTAGCCTCGGGGGGGACGCCGAGGAAGGCCCCTCCGATGCTTAAGTCAGTATATTAGAGAGAGAAAGCTGTGCAAGAGTTTAGTTGCTTGAGGCTTTATTGTCTTACCAAGAATTGACCAAATTGTTGGCTTTTATACCTTGGCTAATGAAGGAGGCGGATTGGGCCCGGAAGTCAGTTGGGCTGGGCCAAGCTGATTGGGCCGTTGACTGACCTTGACATGGCTTTGAGGATGTTGATTTTTGACTTTAGCACATTTGGAGAGTTGAACCTTAACCTTGGGCTTTTAATTGGATCATTCAGTGACCAGGCCCAATTGGACTAAATTGGACCCAAACAACTTGCCCCCCAGACCCGATTTGGAAGGATGACGGGTCGGGTTTGATTTAATCAGAAAAGGAGGGAAGTGAATGATTTGTTAATCCAAAAATGTGAATTTAAACCGTAATTAACCCATGATTAATGAGATAACAACAGTTAATGTGGATAATTGCGGAAGTTGGATGGGTAGTGGGCGATTTAACTGCAAGGTCGTGTGTTTAACGGTTACTTAGTGGGGTGCTTGAGAGAAATTGAAACGCAGACTCCTTGAATTCCCATTTCTGGAGATATAAATAGAGGCGCGTCTTCTCTCCCCACTCATTCATCAACACAAACCCAGAATTCTCAAGAACGCTCAAGAGCCCGCATCAAAACTTCGCAAATTCCCCGAGCATTAAGCTTAGAAGCTGAGACTTGTCACTACCAATTCGTAAATCGGCGACTTTTGCTTCAGATCAAGGTAAATTCCTTTGATTTTATTTCATTTTTCTTCGACTTTGCACTCTTTCCCCTTTTTCGACTTTTTCCTTCGAAATTCGTCAATGGTGAGGGGAGTTAGAGGTGGAGCCCGTGCTCCAAGAAGAGCAAGGCTAATCCCCGATCCCAGGGACAGGATTGGGACCTGGAATGGACGAAGGACAGAGTCTGACCCTGCTGAAGGGGTTAGGGCGACTCCCATTTCTTCGGCTCCTCCTCAGAGGGCTGAGGGGGTGAGCGCTTCAGGACGGGATGATGAAGTTCCCGCTGTCCTTTGGGATATCCTCCCAGGGTTTTCAGAGTGGGAGGATGCCGAAGTAGCTTCGGCCATGATAAAGAACCGCCCCTACTCATGGTGGGTAGAGAACGCCGATCAATATCGATTTGCCGAGCAAATTGAGTTGCACTACGGCATTTTTGAAGCTGATGGATATTGGTGCCGAATGCCCTCAGCATCCGATAGAATCCATCGTCCACCCCCGGGGTATGTGGGGGTGTACACGAGACAGCTTCAGTATGGGCTGAGGTTCCCTTTGGACGTTTTCGTCCGAGACTTGCTGATCCATTACAACATTTCCCTATGTCAGCTAACCCCCACCAGCATCCGAAGGGTGATGACATACCTATGGGTCTGCAAGTTCTTCAGATACGTGCCGAACCTGCACTGCTTCCGAAAGCTCCATCGGCTAGTGCCAAATATTCAGAGTGGGCACGGAAGCCATGGTTCTGGGTGGTATCGGATTGAGTCCCGGCCCCAATATTTGACCATGTGGCCAAATGACTCTTCAGACAAGGACTGGAGAGGTCAATGGATTTGGGTTAGGGCACCCATAGATCCGGGCCACCCTTGTGTCTTCAGCGCTCCCCGGTATCTTGCCGAGCCGGATCCTGATATGGGAAGTTTAGGTCCTCCCGAAGATAGCGGGCCAGACCCGAACCTTAATCAGCAGAACATCTTCGGCAAGCTGCCGAACCGGGGAGGCAGCGGCCGAATGCAGCATATCCCGGAGACTTGGCTCCCCGATACGCACTATGTTTTCCAAGAGAATATGCTGGCAGCTGTCGGCCTCAGCCGAAAGTTTAAGGATGGTAAGCTTCTTCGGCTGGGGCCGAGGCTTTTAACTACCTCTTTTTCTTCTCTCGCTTTGCTTTTTTATGCTGTGCCAACATATCTGAGCTAAACTTTTTCCCTTTCCTTTTTTCAGAGCGGGACGAGACCAACGTTGGTATTAACTACGCTCGTCTTGGTGTTAACCGAGAGCGAGTTGTAACTGAACGGGCCCCGTCTATCACTGAGCCGAGGCATAGGGAAGTTCATCTGGACTCTTCCCACTTCCAAATTGAGGCTGTCGCTCTGTATCAGAGGCAGAAGCCTTGGTGGAAGAAGAGAGACCCTTGGTTTCAGCTGCTGAACGAAGAAGCTGAAGCTGCCCGCACAGCCGAAGAGGTTGCACGGGTACTTGAGGCTTGTGAAGGAGGAGAAGGGTCCTCCAGAGCTGCTGAAGCCGAAGCTGCAGCTAGAGCAGCTGAAGAAGACGAGGCTTTGCTGAAGACCTCGGTGAGCTTTCAGACAACTTTTTTTCTTTTCTTCTTCTTCTTTTTTTTTTACTCACACTCTTCTTCCCCCCTGTCTGTTACAGTCTGAAGAGAGTAACAGACACAGAGAAGGCAAAGCTCCTGTTCGTCCCGAAGATCAAATACAAGAGTCTTCAGACTCAGATATGGACGAGCAGCCTCTTCTGAAAAGGCGCCGAAGGATGGCCATCATCGGCCCTCATGACTTTCAGCAGAGGCCGATGACCATCGGCGTCGCAATAAGGGAACCTGAGGAAGGCAATGGATCGCCGAGGGTTCCCCAGCCAACACCCCAATCTCCTCAAAAGACCCCTCCGCCACCTCCTGAGATGGAGGTGGATCAGAGGACTCCCGAACCTAAGGGAGGGGTCCAAGAAGAAATCAAGGAGAGTGCTGCTGAGCACGGAAATAAAGATGCCGTGATGTCAAGTGCTGAAGGCTTCACGGCAGATATCGCAAGAGAGGTTGAGGCTTTCGTCCTCACCCCTGAAGAAGAGGTCATAGTACTTGACTCCTCTGAGAAGGACGATGCTGAGACAACCAAAGCTAATCAAGCTCCATCGTCGTCCTTCCCTTCTTTCCAGACTCTGCATTCTGGAGAAATGGGTTTCTCGGCCCCCCGAATTCCAATCCCAGATCACATCTGGGACCTCATATGGGGTCAAAACCGAGAAGGAGCTGCAGCCTACTTCGGCAATTTTGCTGGCATGTCCGAAGTAGACAGGGCAAGGATCTGGTCGCTGAAGGCCACTGCTGGGATGGGCGAATCCAGTAGATCAGTTCCTGACCCAGCCAGGTCTAACCAACTGCTGATGATGCAGGTAATTTTCCTTCATTTCCTCCGAAATTCAGCTCTATTTTTTTCTTATTACTTATTTTTTTTGTCTTCCTGTTTTCAGTTCGTGCACAATCAGACTCTCACTGTAGAGCTGATTGATACCCTACAAGATAGGGTAGACGCTGCTGTGCACGAAAGGAAGGTGGCTGAAGAGGAAGTTAAGCTTGCTAAGCTGAAGCAAGCAGCAGCTGAAGAGAAGCAGCAGGAGGTTGAGGAGTACGGTAAAAAAGCTGCCGAAGCTCTGAAAACCTTCTGCGATGCTATGGAGATGGAGGTTTTTCCCCCACTGATGGAAGGGGAAAAATTCCTCCAGGAGCATATGGGAGTGGACGTCTCCAAATTCAAGGCTGCTATTGAGAGCCGAATTCAAGAAGGAACTGCTGCACAAGCTGAAGTGCAGCAGCGTCTAGAGGCTCTTGAAGCCAGCCGAATGGCTGCTGAAGAGTTGCTCTTGGCCAAAGACGTCCAACTCTCAGAGGCTGCTGCTGCTGCTGAAGCTCAAAGAGCTAAATTCCAAGAGGCTGAGGATCAACTGCTGATCCAGAAAGTTGAAGTGGCCCAAGCTCAGACAAAGGCTTTCCAAATTCAGCAAGAGCTGAATGAGCTGAAGGGGTCCTCCTCCAAAGTCGCTGAACAGCTGAAGAAATCCAAGGAGGACTTGGAGGAGACCCAGAAGAAGCTGGCTGATGCTGAGGCTTTACTCAAAGTCCGTGTTTACACCCAAGAGGAATATGAGATGGGTTTCAGAAACGGATTCCGAGTATGCCGAAGACTCTGCCTTCATGCTGAGCCGAAGCTGGACTGGTCTAAATGTGCTGAGTGGGTCCAGAATCCCGAAGACCCTCACATGAAGTATGCAACTCCAGCTGAAGCTGAAATTCTTAAGGCTGAGGAAGCCGAAGAGGAAGCTGAAAGACTGGAGTTGGAAGCTGAGCAGAGGGAAAGGGAGGCTCGGCAAAGTGCAAAGCCCGCCTCTTCTGCTGCTGGGGCTGAGGCCACCATGGGACTCAACGCTGATCAGTCTGATCCTCCGGCTGAAGCATAGGAACTCGGGCAGTCGTCTTCAGAATCTTGCGGTTCATCATGTGCTTAACTTTAGACTTGCCGCTTTCTGAGTTTTTGCCTTTTGTTTTTTTTTTTGCTTCAGCTTGCCTTATCGTACAACAGCTTATTATATTTTTATTTTGCCTGTACGTATTTCGGCAGCTGTTACTTTCCGCTTGTGGGCGGCTGCCGACTATTTTTGTAATTCAACATTTTTATTTCAAAGAAGTTCACTTTCTCAGCTTTCTTGTGTATTTTTTTTTTCTTCGCTTTACCAGTCTTCGCACTTTACTGCTTTCTTTGAATGATCTTTCAAATATTTGCTAAGTGCAGAACTTCGGCTAGCGAGAATCATTTCTGCTGAGACTTCTTTTTGCCGTTTGTACTCGGATGTTTTCAACTTGTGAAAAAACTGACATAAGTATCAAACTTCGGCTGAGCTGAAGGGTATTAGATCAGTTGTGCCATTTCTCTATTTCCCTCTGCCCCCCCAGAAATCTGAAGATGAGGTCTTCTGAATTCTGGAATGGCTGATAATTTTTCTCGGCTAAGCCGAGGATCTTTGAACACTTTGCTTTATTTTCTA